CAATAATTAGGTCTGCAAAGTTATTAATTTGCTGATAATTTTAATGGTATTTTAGTCAAATTATAAATGCCACTGTGATTAATTTCCTTTTGTAGCAAAATGAAATTAAGATTACTTTCACACTACAATTATAGGTGTATGCTGGCTGCATTAGGTACATAACTAAGATTGTATCCTTTTATGTGATTACTGTTCATATGTGTAACATGCATCTTGAAAGAGTGACTTTAAAAAGAACAGTCTTGATTTTGCATACAGTCTCGTGACAAAGATCACGTCAGTGCTAATGAAGGTAGAGAACTGTGGGGCAGGAGCGTTGATTTTGCCACTTAAAATCTACTTGTGGGTCAAACGACAACAGCTACCAGGCATACATGCTGCATGAATGCTGAGTGGCTGGAGGTGCTGTGACTCACTCAGCTCTCATCTTCACAGAGCTCCCTAGCAAGCATCCAGAGTCAGTTCTTGGCAGCACTGGAGTCACTGAAGGCGTTCTGGGATGTGATGGATGAAATCGACCAGAAGACCTGGGTACTGGAGCCAGAGAAGCCTACCCGGAGTGCTACCACGCGCAGGATTGCACTAGGTAGGGAAAAAAGGTTTCAAGGGTTTTCAGGTGCCTGACTTTATTTCGTATTAGACACACAAAAAAATGTGGCAGTTAAAATCTTAGAAGATACATCATTATATGAATTCAACTATTAAAATTTGTTTGGAACAAACCATGCTTTCTTTCATTACTACATGGTTAAATGTAAATATTGTAGGTGAAAAGGGCAAGTGCTGAGGTGTTTCATTATAAAAGGTGATGATCCAATGGAAGCCACATTCAGACAGTGTTTAATTAGCATTTAATTAGCACAGCAATAGTGGGGCAGGTAATTCAAAAATGTATGTTACTTAGAACAAAAGCCTGTGTTAGAAATAATGAAGTCTTCATCTATGAAAGTTAGATGAGATTGGTGTGAACAGATCTGACAGAAAATAGAACATCAAAGAACCCAAAGTGGGTCATGCCGTGGGGAGTAAACGCAAAGCACTAAGTACTGAGTGTAAGCTAAGTATTTCCTATAGATAGCTGTGTGGAGTTAAGGATGGGAGTTCGCAGCTGCACAATGCCCAATGCCGTCTGCTTCAACTGTCAGATGGTTACTTTCTTCATAAGCAATCAAAATATAAAGCCAGTTTTAGAGTTCAACCTTTTTTTGTATAATTTTTGTGCATTTCATACAAAATATCTTAATCATTTTTATACCCTCCCCCGTCTGTATACTCCCATAGTTCTCCCTCCCCGCCACCGAATTTCATGCATTCTGTCATTTATATTAACCTATCCAGTCAAGTTAGTGTACCCAGACGTCCCTCAATGCAAGATCATCTACAGGGGTCTAGTCAGCCTATCTAGAGTCACTCCCTTAAAGAAGATCAGCTCTCCCTCACCCAGCAATAATCGGCTGCCAAGAGTTCTTTGGCTAAGTTTGGGGCCTTCTGTGCCAGGTTTGTTTGTCTTCTTGAGTTTGCATGAGTCTGGTGCATGCTGACACTATTGCTGTAGGTTCCTATGAGCAACATCCCAGGAGCCTGTAAGACTTCCCATATTGTCAGGCACCTCCTCTCCTGAGCCTTACAACTTGATCCCTAAGCCCTGGGTTCTCTACCTTCGGCCCGTTTGTGGTCTTTTGTGTTCATGGCCCTCTGTTGCATGAGGGAGCTTCGTTGATGGAGTTGAAAGATGCGTTAGTGTTCTCTCTACCCTGTTCCACTATGTTCCATGTTCCATTGTTGATGTGTCACTTAGGGTCGGGCATTTCACAGACTTTTAATCTCTGTGTGTGACCAGTTGTGGAACTCTGTAATAGTCTCCATCTGTTGCAAAAGAAGCTTCTTTGATGAGTGGTGACTGGCATACTTGTCTGTAAATATAAGGATCCATATTTAGCATGTAATAAGAAATTACATTTGTCTAGGGATGTGACAATCTTAGGGTTTTCCCTAAGATATATG